ATCATTAATATATATATATATATATATATATATATATATATATAATCTCGTTTCCTCAATTCATTTCTCAACTTTTCTGCAATTTCTTTTGTACTATTGTCGTTATCCAGTGATATCAAATGTTGGATTCTGCAAAATTCCTTTTGACATGGAATGATAAAAGAAAGATACTTGTGTTTGTTTTTACGTACAAATGCTCAAACATGGTTGATCCAAATTACTTAAAAGATACAAGTTTCATTATTGAAATGTCTTTTATGACAACTACAAGCCAAACACACTTAGTCTTAGATACATGATGCCTAATATAATAACATGATCACATCTAACAAATTAATTGAAAGAGGTTTTATAAACAGTGTACAAACAGAGAAGCTTGAATCCATCATTATTACAACCTCAGTTCCGACTCGTAAATAAATAAATGAAGGAGTTTTTTTTCTTCTATTTGGTAGCTCAATTTTCGACAATATTGTGCATAGGTCTTTATGGATAAATTTATTCGGAAAAAATTATAGAAAAAAATATAAATAAATAAAATAATTTTTTCATAAGTTAAATTAGCTTGTATATAAGTTAAGAATAACATTTTAAAGAAGTTAATTTGAGATAATTTTTACTAATTATCCTTTAAATAAATTAATTTTAGTTTATAAAAAAATTACTAAAACTGACCATATTAACTTAATGGAGCAACAGTTTTATTGTGATATGTAAAAAAAGACCATATATCTGAATAGTAATAAAATAAAGAAAAAAGAGACACATAGCTATTAACTTTTATAATAGTCATATCAACAATAATTTCTAATTAATTGATAATATAAGATACTTTACACGCATAATCATTGAACTCAAATAAATATATATCATTATAATTAAAATAACATAATATTAAATTCATAATCAATTAATGTTATTTTATAATTCTCACATAATTTCATAATTAAATAATATTAATCCACACAATTTTAAACAGTCTCTCACTTGCCAACCATTAGTGTAATTGTTAGAAACAAAATTATTATATCAATAAAACAACTCAAAATTTGGTGTTCACAGGCATCATTGTCTTTTATATTTTTGTAATAAGGAATAAGTAAAAATACGAATATCATAGTTAATTGGACTAAATCCTTGATAGGTTGGCTTAATTAATCACTTTATGCACTTTTTTTAATTCAATTATTTCTAAAAAAGATCAAACTTAATTACATGATTAGTCAATTCGCATAGGAAAGAGTAATAAGAATATTGGGAGTTACTATGCTAGCCTCATAAATCCAAGTATTTTGAAGCCAGTGCTTTTTAGACCAATAAAAATGAAGGGAACATTGAATAATAATATAATATATATGTTGACAGATTTATTTATTCTTATATTAGTCAAGTCAATAAAACCATAAACATAATTCATAAATCTTCTTCTTTATAAGACCAAAAGATCACCATTTAAAACAACAAAACTCTCTACAATACTCCCATTGTTTTTCTACCAGTTTCATTGTTTTTCGCTGTTACTTTGGAAACCCTTCTCCCACAAACTTGATTTATATTTTGTCAAAATCACCATTTATAACTTGATCTTACTACTATGATTTTAATTTTCATTGTTTTCAAAACACACTACAAGTCCCCTCGAATCTAGTATGGCATAAATAAACTGAAAATACTTCTACCCTTAAAATGTATCGTTTAACTAAACGAATGCATAAGTTGAAAATTTATGAATGGGGTGACTATTTAATATAATGAATGTCTTTTCCTCTAACTTTTTCTTCTTCATTGTGGTACACTTAACATTAGTTCTAAAGACTTATGTTTATTAAGAAAGTTCAATTTAATTGATTGAACAGGTACGTAAGTGGTTATAAATCTTCTTGATATTGATTTCAATTCCCACGTATAAAGAAAAGACAAACATTTATAAAATTACTTTTCTAAAAAGCATATTAAATACTTCTGTCATCTAATGACAAGAAATGACTCAAATTATTTTGCTTAGTTTAATTTTTGAAAAATTAATTAGTTTATTGGAATACTTTTGTCATATTAAATACTTTGTAGTTCACATTTCCATCACGTTCAGAGTAATCAATCCCAGAGCCTTTTACTTAGACGAGTTAAAATACGTTCAACTAGGAAATAAGGACGCCGATGGTTTAACTCAGTACAAAAGACTGAACTAAAATAATTCACCTAAACCAAATTAAATTAAATTCTTTCTAATCGGCAAACCTTTTTAAATTTTAAATTAAACTGTACATTGAACTGAATTGAATTTTTTTCAAACCAAACTAGTTATGTGCAAAAAAACTTTGAAGAAAAAAAAAAGTTTAAAGTAGGAAGCTTTTTACCCCTTTATAAAAAATGGTTTGGTTCTTAAACAGTTCAATTCAGTTGTTTTTAACACCTGTACATGGAAAGAATGTTGTGAGTGAATTATCCATGCCCATGATAAACTGAATGAGAATGTGAATACTGCTCAAGTGCTTAGGCACTCTGAGATGCATAAGATATCACGCACGTCATTGCAAATGCAAAACGACAACTTGATGCACAACAGTAGCAATCAATGGTTACAATGTCATCATCAACCCTGTAGACCATGTAATAAAAGAATGAAAGCATCTTCGGAAGTCACCATTAACACAAACTTTTCTATAAATATATAATTGCCCGTATACGTACTTTACACAGGAATGCTGAAATAGGGGTTTGTTCAGGCAGATGATTTCTACAGTTCATGAGTGATTGATGGATAAGGATACTTTTCTCCAACTCAAACTTTCTTCACAATATGGAACAGGAACAGACGACCTTCTTGGGCGAATCATCAATCTTCTTTTCTGTTAGCAAAAGAGAAATACAAATATCAAACTGTCTCCTGTAATGAGCAGAGCAATGTTAAACGAGTGTTATACAGGTGTTAGGGAGGTGTGAGGTGTCAGTTTCAAAAACATGTCCAACACTCTTTAACATCTCAAGCAGGAGCGTCCGTGCTTAACAGATACCTTCCCCATATGAAGCAATGCAGTAATGGTAAGCTACATTGATGGAAGCAATGCAGTAATGGTAAGCTACATTGTGGATGCAAGACAGTAATGGTAAGCTACATTGATGAGGCAATGCAGTAATGGTAAGCTACATAGATATTTGACCCGATAATCAAACCTACAAACTGCACCCATTATGCAAAAGAACTTAATGGTGATTATGGATGACAAACTACACAACTTATGAAGCAATACAATAACCATTTAAACATACAGAATGGAGGCCTTGACACATAAAAAAAGAATATAACACTGAAGGACAGAAGATTCCCCTTTTTCGATGCTTCTTGTCATACATCACTAGCATTTTAAGTTCTGAAACCTAAATATGAAGCATACCCTTTCCCTTTGCCACATGAACCAAAAATACAATATTCCATTGCTACTGAATTATTTTTAGCAATGATTATACATCTTGAATCTAGGCACTTGTGTAGAGACTAAATATAATAAATAACACACCATAAGTTTTGTTAAATTATTGTCAAAATCTTTTATTAGCACTCATTATAATAAATATGTCCGATTACTTATGGGTCTAGTCAACAAGTCTACTAAGTGAAGACAAGATTCTCTTTACATTAAATGGGTGCCAAGCGGACATAAAACCATTGCTCATTACATAAATAATCGGGCAGGAAAAAAAAAATAATCAAAAACTGGTGGTAAACTACAAGCCCTATATAGCTTTTGGTTTCCACTTTTCAACAATATTTAAACTGTCTATTCATCTACTCAAAGCAATGAAATCCTATAATTTGGTGCACAAAAAATTATTGAAACAACCAACATTGAAGAACCAATTGTTTCTTTTTAGTATATTTTATGCCTAATTAAATTTTTTGCTAACTTGATTTTTATGGTTATATCTTAGTTTATTACTAAATATATTATACAGTATTAAAACTATATTTAATTCTCACCTACTTGACCACGGTGGTTTAGTAACTGCTGATCCAATAAACCATTAATGATTGTTTTCATCAGTTCAATGATCAACCTAGTTTTTGAAATATTAATCTCTAGTGGGAAAAACTAGTTAACCTAATTAATCTACATATGTCCCTCAGTTCAACCTCATTTATATCAATAAGAAGAGACTGAAAATGTTCCAAAAGGGTTCTTAAATCACTCTACTACCATATATTAGCAAGCCAATAAATTCGTCATCATGCAGATCCAGCTGCAAACTTGTGGAAGTTGGTTCTGAGTTTGACATTGACATGAACTATACTTGATTTTCATACCAAGTAAAAAATAGCAACAACTTGAAAAAAATCTAACTAAAAATTATATATACTCCCTATAGCAATAAGTCCATGGAACTTACCAGCTTTAGTTTTTGCTAGAGATGGCTGTACAACAACATGCATTATTATAACACCCCCTGCAATCTCACCACCAAATGGTACTTTACATTGACCAACAGTCTTGTTGTTTTCCAAGATTTTACCAGAATTAATCAGTTTCACTTCATTTGCTGACTTTGGCATGACTGTTTTACCTACATAAGGGGGAAAAGTGCAACATATAAAAATGACAGAACAAGAAGGAATCTATGTCATACCCTATCTTCAATAAGTTGTAGAGAAGGACCCAAAGCAACACAAATAATCACCATAACAAGTTCACTGATTTGTTAGAGAATTAACATTCACCACAAGGCTATCAAATGTAACAGTCCATACCTTAATTAGAATGATAATGTCTAATCCCCTTTTTAGTTAAGAAATGTCACCAAACTTCAATTTAAATTGAACAAGTGAAGAGCCCAAATTTTCCTTGCAAAGAGTTTGACCACAACCTTCTAATGTAATGCTTCTTTATCTAATGTTATAATAATTATTTTACAAATAATTTTAATTTGGTCAGTGACCTTCAATTATATCAAGCTAACTGGAAAATTGAATAGGATTATAAAATGATCTAAAGACTAAATTCATGTTAGCTGTCATCCTTTTTGAACATCTAAGGGCTAAGCATCTCCCAATCATTTTATAATTTCATAATAAGGTGAATAAGAAATAAGGAAAAAAGAACATACTGTATCTGTTCTCAGAAGCCAGAAGAGGTCAAAGACAGAGAAGCAACATGTTGGAATAGTTGGGTTCTTATTGGTATAAGAGAAGACTTGATATGTTAAGAGTCAAGTTGGATTGGACTTTATACTAATTGTACAACTCAATGTATTAACCTTTTGATTATGAATATAAATAGGAGACTCAGTGTATTGTATCATACATTCATTTTGATTATATGTGAAATATACTATTTCTCCCTTTTCCACCTTTTTCAAAAAATTTCAGCACAATATTGCATCAGTAGCATTAGTCGTGACCAATTCTGTTGCAATCTCCATTGCTGAGTTCCTAAAAATCTGGAACTCCTTTGGTCCTCTTCCATATGAACTTTGTCTAATGACCATCAACTTCTACTTGGTTGAGCACCAACTACAACTACCACAATCTTAGTTTTCCCCCCTACTTATTGCTTTCATGCAGCTTTCCAGCCAACATTAGAGGTTGTGTCCACTTTTCTGGTGTGCTTTTCCCTGTCACCAAAGCCAGATCTAGTTCACCTTCATGGTCTCCATTCAACAAACTAGCAGCAATATTCTAATCAAATGGTGCCAATCCAGTAGAACTTGCCTAAAACCTCACAGTGGCACACCCACATGTACTACCTATCTAAAGTGGCCTCAGTCTCATGTCCCCGCTAGATGGTAATGCATCCCAATCCCCTTTCACTAGTGACCAGTCCAAATTTCCTTGCCTCAACTTTTCTGGCTAGTTGCTAGCCTTGGATGCTGGTTTCAGCCACTCCTCTACCATAGTTGGCTCTGCCATGACAAGATTCTCCAGTTTTGCTTTGTTCAAGTCCCTTATTCATCCATGGGTTACAGTCATCCCACCCCTATTTGAATTTGGTTACCCTATTTGGGTTGTCAGTTCCTTACAACATCATGGAATACAATATTCTTGCCTTTATTTGGCCTTGATCCTCTCAATTTAGTTCCAACTTGTTCTATTTGCAATTTGCATGGATAAGCTTATTCCATATTCAACACAACTTAAATATATAAATTCTAGTTATAATTGATTTCAGCAACGCAAGAGATTTTGTGACAAAAATCTGGTAATAGCAATCTTGACATATGAACTGATAGCCAAGTCCTTAACTGCTGCTATTGATATGTGAGCAAGGAAGGTAAATAAATGTCTGTGCATGAAGAGGACAATCAAATGACTAGCAGTCCAGTAATATTTTACTAATTCAAAAATATTTAGGCAGAATCAAGTGCTGCATGGCTGTATGAATGAAATTTCTGGTGAAAATCTTATGACTTCGTTCTTTAGTCTCCACACCCCGATAAACCCACATTCAAGTTCATGAAATTAAGTAATCAACACAAAAATGACAAATTGACAACAGAAAAAGTAAGCAACTCAGCAACTGTGGTGATGATAATAATAATAATAATAATGATCAGTTATGAACCTATGATAGCAACAGTGCGATCATTGATGTTTTATAAATATGCAGGTGAAACCTAAAGAAGGGGCTTCACTTTGCTTGGGTGATGCAATCAAGATTTTACTTGACAAAACACAACCACAGTCTTCTAAATATCATCAAATATATCAAGGTTTCAATGATAGCTACATATTCTGAACTAGCATGAAAAAATTGAACTACATGTTTTACCCAGAATCATCACAGATCAAACAATCCGCAGCTATAAGTGACTTTTTGATGGACTCTACTAACTTCGACACTCACTCACATAAATTGAACTCTCTAAACCAACTAACAATTTAAACTATAGTCTAATTAACTTGTCAACAATCAAAATCAAAGGAATCAGTAAAGCAAGTAACAATTGTGATGAACAATAATTGAAATTGACTTCGAAGTAAGTGAAGAGAGAGACCTCTGGGCCAATCGGAGACAATCCTTTGCTTGAGCATATCGACGGTAGCGGCGGAGGAGTACCTGAAGGGTCCGATATCGGAGCCATCGTACAACCTAAACTTGATGTCCACCAAATCCTCTTCCGGCATCTGAATTGACTTCTTCTTCTTCTCCTATGCCTTCTCAACTCTTACCCTAACCCTAAACCTTCCTTCCTCGATTCCTAAAATTCCAACCGAGAACGATTCAACTTGATTTGATCCCGTTATTACACACTGAATCGAATCTTCAAAGATCTGTAATTCGATGATCTACAACAATAAAAGAGAAATTGGACGCTACCTTGTGTTTGATCAGAGTGGAACCATTACGGGTTTTGACTTTATTCGCTGCCAGCAACCTTTTTCTTCTGCTGCTTCTGTTGGTGAACGCTCAACTCAACAACAATACAAAGATTAAATTAAAACAGAAAAAAAAAATGGTAAATAAATAAATTAAATTAAAAAAAATGCCGTACTCGCTGCTG